AAGAAGAGGAAACATCCTGGCCAGTATAGATCAGTGGTTGAGCATCAACCCATGAACCGGGAGTTCATAGTTCAATTCCTAGTCAGGGCACATGTCCAGGTTGCTGGCTCAATCCCCAGCAGGGATCATGCAGGAGGCAGCCAATCAATAATTCTCTCTCATCACTGATGTTTCTAACTCTCTCCCCCTTCTTCTCTCTGAAATCAATAAAAACATAAAAGAGGAAACAAGGCTCCTAATCTGCCCCTGCCCTGTCTGTGTTTCCTCCCAGGTAAAATGAGGAAGTAGAGATTGTCTGCTTAGGCACCCAGTGACTTCCACCCCCTATGAGCCACACTCTCAACAGTCTCCCCAAGATCTCTGCATGTTGTTTCATAATGTGGTACCCCAGAAAGTAGCATGATGAGATCATTTCTGTCCCCTGGATAAAGCTGGTGCCTCGGAAAAAGTTACACATACATTTTCAGTGAAACATGGAGGTGACTGTTCATGGAACCCCTACCCTACATAGGCCCAGGGTGACAAGCAACCTAGTCCTTAGCTTTCAGGTGCAGAACATCTAGAGAAAAGGTTCATGTTTTACTGAGTTGAATTCTCCTTGATCCAATGGAAAGGGAAGTGAGAGGGAGTTGTTCTCACCTGTGTGTCCCCAATTATTTATGAAGATCAACAATTTGTGACAGACTCTCCTCTATAGGGAAGTGCAAGAGTAGAATCTACTTATCACAAAAACAAAACAAAGAACCCAATGCAGCTTCCATTGCCTACTCCAGCTTCAGCCTTATCTAGCAGTCCTGACTTGAGGTGGCGGGAGGGCAGCCTATGCCCAATTTTTGGGTTGGCCTCACAAGACCAACAGGCTCACAACTTCCACCTCTGATTTTTGTTTTTCAGTGAGCACACTTATGAATGCCAGAACAGAAACCAAACTACTTTTAATCTCATTTGTATTTTTTTTTAAACATCCGTATTAAGGTATAATTTACATACCACAAAAGTCATCCATTATAAGAGTACAATTCAATGATTTTAAATAAATTTATAGTTGTGTAACCATCATCACAATCCAATTTTAGAATGCTTCCATCACCCCAAAAAGTTCCCTTGTGCCCATGAGCTGTTTCTCATTGCTACCATCCACCCCTGCTCTACCCCATGGAGTCACTAATTTCTCTCCTCTCTACACTGTTTGCTTTTTTGGGACACTCCCTGTAGATTCAATTCTACAACATGTAGTATCTAGGTTGGGAGTCTCTCCCTTGGCATGACAAGTCTGAGATTCATCTATTTGGTAGCATGTACCGACAGTTTGTGCTTTCATTTCTGAATAGTCATCTACAGTACAAATCTAGCACATCTTGTTCACCCAGGGATATGTGGGTAGTTTCCATGTTTTAGCTATTACAAATCATGCTGCTATGGACATCTAAGCACCTGCCTTTGTGTGGACATATGTTTTCATTTCTCTTGGGTACATTCCTTGGATATATTGCTGAGTCACGTGATAAGTTCATGTCTAACTGTAAGAAATTGTCAAACTACTTATGCCACTTACATTCCCACCATGTATCAGGGTTCCTTTCTCCACATCCTCCCCAATACTTATTATCTTTTTTTTTTTTTGAGAGAGAGAGTTGAGTCATCGATCAGTGGCCTCCCGTATTTGCCCCAACAGAGACAGAACCTAGATAGATATGCGCCCTGACTAGGAATCAAACCCACAACCTTTCAGTGTATGGAACAACACTCCAACCAACTGAGCCACTCAGCCAGGGCTTATCTGTATTTTTTACAACAGCCATCCTTAAAACTTGTTTTATGGCCTAGCATATGCTCTACCCTGGAGAATGTTCCATGTGATTGTGAGAAGAGGTATTCTGCAGTCACCAACTGGAGTGTTCTATAGATGCCCATTAGCCAAATAGGCCAACAGTGCTCTTCAAGTCTTCTAGAACCACGATGATTTTCTGTTTAGTTGTTCTACCAATTATTGAGAGTAGAGTATTGAAATCTTTATAATTGATGAATTGTCTATTTCTACTAACAATCCTATCAGCTTATGCCTCAGATGTTTTGGGGTTCTGTTGTTGGGTGCATATACATTTTCTGACTATTATTATATCTTCCTGATGTATTGTTATAAAATGTCCCTCTCTGCCTCTAGTAATATTGTCTGTCTTAAAGTCTATTTTATCTAATATAATACAATCATTCTAGCTTTCTTATGTTTACTTACGGTATATCTTTCCCCATATTTTACCTAAGGATCTAAGTGTCTCTTATAAACAACATATAATTAAGCTGGATTGCTTTTTGTTCTACTCTGACAATTTATGCCTTTTGATTCAGGTGTTTAGACCATTCTCACTTAATGTAATTATTGATGTGGTTGAATTTACACGTCAAGTTTGTGCATCCTCAGATTCTGGTATCTATGGGGGATCCTAGGACCAATCCCCCATGGATACCAAGGGAAAACTAAGTTTTGGGGGAGTCAAAAATTATACATGGATTTTTGGCTATGCAAGGGATTGATGCCCTTAATCTCCACATTATTCAAGGGTTAACTGTGTGTGTGTGTGTTTATGTGTGTGTGTGTAGGTTCCCAAGCAGATGTCCAAAGCCAGACACTCTCAACGAGGATCCAAAGACTGACTGTATCTAACACAAAAACTATGGCCACTCACTCCAGAACGAATTACACTTTTAGAATGGCTCTGGGGTGAACTTGATCCTATGATTCTGTGAAAACCCACAACTACTCCAACGAACTAGATAGAACATTCTGTGTGGGAACTCAGGGAGACACTAGCTCCACATGCAACATCTCATTTTAGTGAAGCTTAAGACTGAAGGGCAGTTGCTGCCAACACTTTTTTTCCTCACCACATGCTGTGTACCAAGGCTGATTCTGGGTATACATCTGTCACCCATCAACCTGCAAGGCAGAGATTATTGACCATTTTACAAATGAAGAAGCATAGGCAAAGATCATCTGCCTGAGATTAACCAGGGAGTGTGATCTGACCCCCACTGTGCCTGCTAGCCTCCAAAGCCAGGCTCTTTCCACACTCACATAGGTTCACAATGCCCTGGGGTGTCTCTAGTCCTGAAGAAGGACCCTGCCCTATGTGCCTGGGTTAATCTCTGTCCCCTACTCCTTTGCATCCTTTATGTGTCATAAAGATATCATCCCTATCAACTTCAGAAAACGTTACATCATCTAAGTGCTGCTGGGCTGGAAGCCAATGGGCACAGTGGGAAAAATCTGGGACCAAGAGGCCCAGAGGCCAACTGCAGTCCAGGCTTTGGTAATAGAAAGATCTGAGTTTGAGTTCCAGCTCTGAGTTCCTTCAACACTTAACCTCTCCCTCACAATTCACTGGCCTGCCCTGCAGGGGAGCATAGTGATTATAGGACAAAATGTACACCAGGCTCAGGAATGGAAGGGACCCAGCAGATCTCAACAAGCAGCTCCTCCTTATCCACACAATCTGAGACATTGCTGAGAACCAAGTCAGAGGGAGGGAAAGGAGTTACAATTTTATTTCTGGAATTTTAAAAGAGGCCTCTGGCTTTAGAACAGGGGCTACAGAAAGCAGAACCAGAGAAAGGGCGTTTCTCAGTAGCAGAAACACAAAGCATACCCTATCCTCCTCGGCTATGATGATTTCCCAATAAGAAGAGATTGAATTTTCCCATTCATCTCGAGGTAAGAATTTTCAACAAGAAATGCCAGGCCAGACAATCTCCTCAGGATGCCAACAGTCTGGGTTCCAAAATGGATTTAACACAAAGACTGCAGGCTAAGGGGATCAGTAGACACTCACTAGAAGGCAAGAAGCCCCCAAGCTTCCTCAGCTCTGTACCTCTCACCTTCCACCCCTACCTGGGCAAACAGATGTGAAGCGAAGGGAGTTTGCAAGAGAAGCAGCGAGGGGCCCAAATGGCATGGCTCAGTGGTTGAACACCAACCTATAATCCAGGAGATCACGGTTGGATTGCGGTCAGGGCTCACGCCTGGGTTTTGGGCTTGATCCCCAGTGGGGGGCATGCAAGAGGCAGCCAATCAGTGACTCCCTCATCATTGATGTTTCTACCTCTCTCTCCCCCTCTCCCTTCCTCTCTGTGAAATCAATAAAGATTTATTTAAAAAAAGAGAGAGGCAGTATGGGCGACAAGATATAGACCACAGAGGGGCTGCCTGGCTGGCTAGGACCCTATAGCCACACTATATGTCCAAGGTGAAATGTCCTGAGACATGTGGGTATGAACATTCTGGAAAGAAATGCTCTCACCAGAGCTCTGCAGGAAAGGGGTTACGACAAGAACAGAAGTTAGGCCTAAATTTCTCTTTACAGGGAGAAAAGGTTTCTAAGAGGAAATAGGGTGGTACATTGAGTTGAACTTCTTTCAGACTTTTTCATTAAGAGCCTTACAAAAGCTGAGGATCAGGAAAATTACTCTTGAAGTAATCAGTATTAACTAAGGAGAAACCAACTGAGCACACCACAGAAGATCTCTCCTTGGTGTGGCCCCTCCTCCAACATGAGCTGCCTATAAGGAGTGGTGGCATGTATGAGAGGTACCCTGGGCTGGGCTGGGCTACTGACTCTGCCCATAGCCAAGTGATCCAGGCAGGGTATAGCGTCCCTGGCTTCCTAACCCTCAGATCTTAAAAGCAGGAAGGCATGATCAAATGAAAAAATCATGTTTTCCTACAAAACAAAAGTTGAACAAATAGCAGCGGAGCAGACAGAGGATACCACTCCCCCTTCTATGAGACCCATACCCTGTGCCACTGATGTCCAGGCCTGAGCAGGAAGGTCCCTTAGCCAGGACAGCACAACAATGTCAGGGCTGGGGTCCACAGCCACCTATAAGATAACCCACCAAAACCTGCTTTCTGCAGGCTGCAGGGCTGGTGCAACCTTGAGCTCACCTCCTCACATCTGGGCTTGTCCTGGTGCCTGTCCTGATTCCGGTCCCCTCTCACTCACCTGTGTGAGGTGCGCATGTCCACAGGCCCATCACCTGCCTGCTCTTCTCCTCTACCAATGGCCGTCGCCTCGGCCCCACTCAGCAATCCTTGGACTGGGCCTCCTGGCTCGGGCATCACTCCCATGTCTCCATCAGTATTTAAATCTGAAGCCAACAACCCTCTCTCCATTTTTATTTTCTTGCTCTCCACATCATCCTCTGCTGGATCTTGTTCAAGCGCTCGTTTCTGACTCCGTGTCCGGCATGCTTCTTCGGTCATTCTGAACTCTGGGGAAGAGGAAAACAAAGACATTTAAACTTTGCATAACAGAGTTACTACCTTCTTTTCAGTGTCAGCCTGGAATATTTTCCTCATCACGTGACAATGACAGAAGTAGGCACACAAACACAGGGCCCACAAAGTGTGCCTGGGACATTTCTTCATTGCCCTGGGGAAGGCTGGAACAGGAGTGGTGGAGCATCTGGGGAGCTGAGACCTCAGGGACCTGGAGAGAAACAATGGAAGAAGGCTGTTCATCAGAAAGAAGGGGAATTGTTGATACTTCAGACTCAAAGCAAACAGAGGAAAACTGAACTCCCTGGAGGTGTCTGGAATCCAGGAAAGGGAATCATGCTGTCCCAGGAGCAAGGTCACTACCCAGGTCCAGTCCTACACTTCAAAAACTTAGGCTGACCCTTGACTCTTCTCCCCTTCAGTAAGAGTGGCCTCCTCATCCCAGAGGGGTAAGGAGTGGGGATAACTTTTAACCCTTTGACTTCTGGTGAGGTAAACTTTGAGTAGGGTGAGGCCTGCCCTGTCACCATGCCAGCACCCTGTACCTGCAACACAAACATATCTTGATTTAAAGAAGAAAAAAACAGCTGAGTCAGTTTTTGATCCCATGACATCACTGGGCTACACATGACCCTTCCCAGGATTCAGTCTGAGAGACAAAGCACTTTCCAGAAAACTAGTCTGAACCGGTTCCAGACAACAAGCTGAAGTGCTGTTAACCCTCACAGAGACAGGAGGGAGGATAGGCAGTGATGTCTGTCTGCAGTGAGGCTGCAGGCATTCCACAGCAAAGTCCAGGACACAGTCACCCACTCTTCAAGGGGCCATTCTGAGCCTGGCTGTCATGTTCCAACAGGGCAGGATACCAGAAACAAGCCTGTGAAAGAAGTTCACCAGGGGATAGAAAGGAATTTAGCTGCCAGGCTCTAGCAGAATTCCCAAAATGACAGTTCTCCTCAAGACAGTCAGGAGCCATGTCCACCAATACCTCGCCAGGGGAAGGAGTGCACCGTGTAAACCCCTCAGAGTCCCAATTCACATCTGCAGTATGCCTACATGCAAAGCCTCCCAGCTCTCTGTATCCACACAAGCAAGGCACCCAGAGCCTAAGTTTCCTCACCACTGAACACCCTGAGAGGCCTATTTTGGACAGGGCTGGGTAGATCCAGTCCTGGAGCCCACCTTCTGGGAGGCTGAGGGTAGCACAGGGCAACAAAGGGCCATGTCATCATATATGGGACATGCTCCTGAGCTGACTCACTCACAACATCTTTAAAGGAGGCCCTGCCCCAACGTGCCCTACTGAGGACTTAGACTGAAAGGAAGGAAAGGGCAACTGCTTCTCGCTGCTCACATAGAAGGCAGAGCAGTCCTTCTGCACACATTAGACCACCATATCACTGACATCTGCCCCTACAGGCAGCCCAAAAGGGCCAAACAGAGCAGGCTTCCCCATAGCCACATCACCCCTGGGGTGCTCCCCACTCATCTAGATGGAGGACAGGGCTACTGGTTATGGCTCGGCCTCCATCTGCCCCCAACCCCTCCTGGCATCCCAGCACACACCTGTAGTCTACCCCGTAGGAACTACTCGGCCTCAGCCACTCCCATACAACCCCCATCCCTCTGCTCTCCTACAGACTCCCCATCCCATCATCTACCTCCCTGTCATCTCCTCTCCCCCACAGGAAAGTGAGGGATGCTCCCATTTGCCTGTTAGCCTGAAGTACTAGGTTTCTGTCTTTTTCCAACATGCCTTGACCATACACTCCATCAGCCTGCTCACTGAGTCTGTCCATCCTGTCTCCCCATGAGACTGCAGACAAGTCACTGTCCTAAATATCTGTCATTGTGGGAGGGGTGGTTCATTTGGCACAGCCTGAAACAAGAACTCCTCAAATATCTGAAAACTGGACAAGAGCAGCAATTCTGAGGCCATCTTGGCTGGCACGTATGTGTGCCCCCAGGATTGATGAGAAGCTTATCTGGGTGGAAGATGAGGGGATACTAGGATTTCAGGCAAGGAGGGCCCCCACTGGAGTCTGGGGAAATTCTCTCCCTCAGGGAGAAGTTCCCAGTCTAGCCTGGTGCCCACTGGGGGTAAGGGGTATCCCAGGTAGACAGGGAGATCGTACTTCCACTGCGCAACACTGTCCCCTAATCATGCATTCAGAGCACCCATGCTTCCCTGCTCCACCTCTGCTTCAGCCTAGTGGGGTTCCTCACAGTGTAAATCCTGAGATCTTTATATGAAGTTCATATAAACCCCAGAACCTACATGAAATCCTTTCTCCCAACTGCCCACGGATAAGAGGGAGCTGAAAACAAAATCACTGTGTGCCAGGTGACCAGACTGGTGAGGTAAAGCCAAGTGGCCTCACTTCATCATCACTGGTGTAAAACAAGCAGATCATGAGGGGCCAGAACAGAGCCCACCCCCTCCAGCCCCAGTAGAGGGCCAGGGAATCTGCCGGCTTGTGCAACTCACTCTGCAGCCCAGAGGCTGGAAAGCTGCCAACCCCAGACCCAGAACCAATGGCCTGCCCTGCGCTTCTGGCAGGCCACTCTGGAGGGACACAATGAAACCCTCCCCCACCACACGAAGGACAACCACAGCTGGAGGGAGCAGGGCCTGCCATGGGGGACGAGGCCTCCTACACAGCCAGGCAGTTGCCTTAGGGCCCAAAGGGGCTTGCTGCGGCCAATCTCTGGTCTCTGGGGCCTTACTCCTGGGCAAGGTGCGTGCTGGTAAGTAGCTGCTGCTCCTCTCAGGGGGAAGGGCCAGTGCCCCCAGCACATCACGGCTAGTGGACTCAGGGATGGTGACAAAGTCAGGAAGAAACCCTCCTTGTGGAATGAAGCGTGACCACTGATTTCTGCAAAAAGCAGTAAGGAAGGTGCATCAGAATACTTTCTGAAGAGGAGGTAAAGGGGCTGGATTCCCCAGCTGGCAAATTCAAATCAGCTTCAGAACTCCTAGCGAGTGAGGAGGAAAATAAAGGGGAAGCAGTGACCGCAGAAGTTTCACCACAGGCCCATTTGTTCAGGAAATGCGGGGCCCACAGAGAGCAGCCCCATCTTGTGGGATCCTGTGCTGGCTGCTGCCTGAAGGGCAGATCCAGACAACAGCATGCCCGCTATATACATGATGCCACCAGGGCTGCCTGAGGCACAGGCTGCTACACAGGAAACAGAGCTGGAAACTGGGTGGCCTCATCCCTTCCTCCTCACTCTTCAAACACAACCCTGCTCTGATGAGTCCTGTCCTCTGACCTGGCTGGGCCAGCAGGAGGTGGCAGGACACAGCCCAGGTCTTCGCGGGCAGGTTTCAGCCACAGTAGAGTCTACACAGGCATAGCACAGACTGAACCCAAGATGATGGGGCCATTGAGTACAGGGCAGAATGCTGACATGGGGCTTTGGATCAGATGAAAATTTCAATCGCCTCTACCAAAAGCTGCTTTATTTTAGTAAAATCCCACCATCCAACTGGTCTGAGAAACTCAGGAGGAAAACCAGTTTCAAAACAGCTCCAAAGGGTGAATTATGCTGCAGCAGAAACCAGATTTTTAAACAGGACTCGGGAGACAAACAGAAAGCAAGTGGCACAGGTAGGTCACACAGACCAGTTAAAAAAAAAAGAGTAAATAGATGTGAGTTGCAGAGCCATAACTCTGAGGCATTTTCATCAATACTATCTGGACTATTTATACTACTCTGTTACTAACATACCAGCAAGATTACTAGAGCAATACTCATTTTAGACACAAGGAAAGCAAGGCTTAGCAATATGTGCTTGTGAGAAGTGACAGAGCCAATGCGCTGAAAAGTGGACTTGGGGTACTTTTTCCAGAGCCCAGAGAAGGAAGCGAGCATAAGGAGGTGGGGGAAAGAGGGTGCTGAGTGTAGACTGATCTCAGGGAGAGCGCAGGGGGATACAACTTATTCTAAAACAGGAGTGGGGAATCTTTATTCTGCCAAGGGCCATTTGGATATTTATAACATTCCTCACAGGCCATACAAAATTATCAACTTAAAAATTAGCTATGAGCCCGGCAGGACGTGGCTCAGCAGTTGAGCATCAACCTAGGATCCAGGAGATTGTGTTTTGATTCCCGGTCAGGGCACGTGCCCTGGTTATGGGCTCGATCCTTATTTAGGGGGCGTGTAGAAGGCAGCTGATCAATGACTCTCACATCATTGATGTTTCTATCTCTCTCTCCCTTCTCCCTGCCTCGCTCTGAAATCAATAAAGATATATTTAAGGAAAAAAATTAGCTATGAAAAAAGCTCCTAGATTTATTGAATTTCAAGTCCTGTCTGCGGTTCCCTTGGCAGAGTCACCCCTGTTCTAAAGGATCATCTGGCTGATTTGGGAACATACTGGGGGCGTCTGTTTCTTGTGGCCCAGGACAGGAAGGGGACAGAGCAGTAGGGAGAGGACCAAATGGTGGGTTGTACTTCAGAGGATAAGAACACCACAACATGTCAACAGCTGCACATGAGGTGAGAGAGGGTTGCTGTTTTGTTAGGTTTTGCCTGTGCAACTGAAAAGAAGAAACTGATTTTCTGAGATGGGGAAGGAGCAGTTCTGAGAAAAGAAGGTTGGAAGCGGAGGTACTTTGGACATACTGAGAATGAGCTGTCTACCATACCCACACAAGCTGAGGAGCATCTGCTGACAAGAAAGGCCTGCACATGGGGTAGCTACTGTTCTGAGGGTAGTGTAGGGGACCCCTTCCTATCAGGAAGGACCTGTGAAGCAACCAACGCTAGGCTGGGATGATGGGGTCCAGGCGCCAGCCTCATCAGCCACTTGCCAAGCTCTACAGTCTCAACATACAGCACAGGTTGGTCTCTGCACCCTAGTGGTCTTGGGATTGGGGCTGTGCCACCTCTTTGCATGGCCTTCCTCGTCTCCTGATTAGACCCAGGAAGCCCATCCACCCTCCCCAAGTCAGCAGCCTGAGGAAGCTTCCAAAGCCAAGTCCTAGGTCTGCACCCTCCAAATGCTCCCCAAGTTCTTGAGAGTCAAACACAGGCACTTGGGGAGGGGTCAAGGGAGAATAGCTAAGCTGCACTTTCGTCTTCTCTTCCAGAATAGACCTTACTCTGCTCTGGGCCTGAGCTACTTCCTGATGCCTATCTCTGAGCGACAGTGGCAGAGATGCAGTGGTTGTGTTCTGGAAGGAACTCACACCAAAAACATCAGCTCTCAAGTTTTAAACAATGTCAATGCCCTTTAAAGTGAGTATAAGAAATGGAATTAGGTGGGGAACACAAAGATGATCCAAAAGCTCGCCTGCACTACTGGACACAGCAGAGAAGAGGCAGAATCTCAGGGAGCAACTGGCGGGGGGAGATTGTCACTCTCTGAGCCTGTTTCCCCATCCATACCTCGAAGACATGCTACGTGAGAAGATGTTAGAAATAACTTGAATGAGAAAATCAAGTTGCATGATAGTATAATGCCATTCACATGGTTTAAAAGTGCTTATAGTCTGCAGAAAAAAATATTGAAAGCTTATTAAAATCGAAACTGAAATGGGCCTATAACCCACAGCACTAATTTCTGAAGAGTGGATTATTAAGAAACTTTCACTTTCTACATTAAATCATTTCTCTTAACAGTGACTATCAGTGTTATATTAAAAGGAAAGGAAAGATAAAAAGGAAAGCTAGATCAAATAATACTGCGACCTTCAGAGGCTGAGAATTGAAAGGACACAAGTTTTAGTGGGGGTGGGGCAAGGGGAGAAGGCCCTGCAGGGAGGGAGATGCTGTCTTCCATGGCCCTTGGCCAGGATGGTGCCTAAGATGCAGGGAGGACATTTGGCTGGCTCCTGCAACAGGCGGAACCAAGAACACAAGAGGAACACAGAACCGCAGTGGGCTGAGAGGGGCACTGCTGCTACTTTCCCACCTGTTATTGGCGTATGTCTACAGAGCTTAAAAATCCACCTTCTCTGTCACTTATTACAATAACTCCTGAACTCTAAGCCAGAAATCCAATTCCCTCGGCTCATCCACATAGCACACCTTCTACCTCGGCCACTAGCTGTCCTGAGGGGCCACCAGGACCCAGTATCAGTGTGGGCTCACTCTGACAGTGCCCATGTTTCATACAGTCCCTCATCAGGACTGTCCATGGCAATAACCCCCACACAATTCAATGACTTCATGCTAAACTCTTCCATGGCAGAAACTTCTTTTTGCTATTCATCTTCATTTTCAGTGTGAAGCAAACAGTATGGGTTTAGTATGTGCTATTTTAGTTAAACCTACATTTCTGTAAATTAGCCTCATGAAGTGTATGATTCCTGGGGTGGCCCTACAGGTCAAAATAAAACAAACAAGTTGTGTGCTTTCATTAAAAACTCCTGCATTCTGACTGTA